ACAGTAACTGACACTCTATATGGAGTTTAGAGTTCTGCGCTAAAGAATTGCAGGATTACAAATATACGAAAAATATAAAAGCTAAAATCCTAAAGCATGAAGGGAATCTCCTGCAGCAGCACTGACACCAGTGCCAGTGTATCAACAAACAAGCCATGGTGGCAGGGTTACACATACCTGGGGACAGACAAGCAAGTTCATGGAGCTGGCCAGGATCACCTTGGGGTCTCTTGCAGCAGTTTGGCTGCAAGGAATCAGCACTGAGCATAGTGCATATGTGGGTTCAACCAAGCAGCATGCCTTTCTGCAGAGAAATCCCAAAGCAAATTCTTCTCTCTGCTATAGAACACCAAGCACTGCCCCCACAAATGCAGTGGTCATAATATCATCGTTTTTCTCATTACTCATCAGAAAATCCAGTGAATAGTAAAATGAGGTACTAAGAAAAGAGGCATGTGTGCTAATTATGTGTGCTGTTGTAGACAGTGTATAGTTAACTGAGAGAAAAGGTTGGAAAGAGAAAGAGAAGAATGAGAAAAAATAATTCTGAAGTCTGGAAAATGAGCAGTACATGGGTGCCCTATGGTACAGTCTGGGATAGATCCTTCTGTTAAATTCTCTGAACTTCTGAGGTCTTTATAAAGCTGAAGTGGCAGTGCTGCTGATCCTCAGAGAAAGTTGGGATCACTCTGGCAGCCAGGGATGCAGAGGAACATCTGAAGCTGTAGCCCTGCTTAGCCCCTTCCCCTGAAAGTCGGTAGGCAATGTGTAGAACAATGTGTAGGCAATGTGTAGAACTCAGCACTTGCTCCTTGTCAGAGCTGCCAGGTGCCTGAGATGGTAACAGGTACTGTTATGTTATGTATGTGCATACACAGATACTTCTTGCTTTTACTTTTCAGCTTTTACTGGCTGAAAATCTGTCCAGGTCTGCAGATATCCAGGTATTTACAACAGACAGTATTTAACCTCAAGGTTAAATAATAATACTGATCTGTTACTAGGAAAGCTCCAGTAAATGTGTGGTGTGACTGGGGGGGATTTTAAATTGTAGCCTCTGCTGAAGCCACTGCAAGAGGGACAGTGTGTCCATAGCCATCCTTCAGGTGCCACAGGTCACATGCTAGGAGATTCAATTCAGATAAAAAAACTGATCTGACAAGCTATATCTTTATTTCCAATATGAAGAGAACATATTTTTTTTTAATAGGGTGAAAATATGCAAAAAATGCAGTCCTGCTTTGATTTATAGTCTGGTCAAGTCCTTGCACAATTACACAACAATGCTGTGTGAACACCTGCAGCCTTTGTTCTCTAGTTTTGCACATCAGAGCTATTAAAAGTGACAGATTGTGTTCTCTGATAATCATTGCATTTACAGCAAATGCAAACATGTTCATCTGATTTTCACAGGGTTGTGCCCTGTTTTGTCAGGCAGACAAATGCAGCTCTTTGTTTCACATTACTGGGAATTTAGAATCCCACTAAGACACAGGTCCACTAGATCTGAATTAAAACCTTTCTTCAGCCACCCTTAAAGCAGCTTTGCTATGAGGAAGGAAGGAAGGAAGGAAGGAAGGAAGGAAGGAATTGTGGAGGAAAATGAGTCAAGTGCAGAAAGGTTTTCACATCAGGGAACAGGGAAAACCTTGAGGTTAAATACTGACTGTTGTGAATGCCTGGATATCTGCGGACCTGGATAGATTTTCAGCCGATAAAAGCATGCTAAGAAGTATGTGTGTATGCACATACACAAGTATATACATCTATAAATACATACATTTTTACACCTGTATATGTAGCCAGCTTAAATCCAGAGCCAGTACAATGAGAAACTGCATTTTCTAAGGACCAAATTGTGCAGAAATCCACAGGTGCAGATTTCTAAAGACAGTCATTAGTTTGATGAGAAAATCTTCAGATTGCCTCCTTTCCAGAAAATTACAAGGCATGTACTTGGAGCTAAGTTTCAAGGTCATTGCTATCCCAGGCAAAACAAAAATAGCTGTTTCAGAAGGCAGCTCTCTGCAATTCATAAATCAGCATCACAGAACAGCCTTCAATGGACCTACAGATATTTGGATCAATGAAACATTTGGCCTGAATTACTTGACACAATAAACAGTTCAGAATATTTTATTACTTGTTCAGGTACTGATCATCCTATACCCAAAGAGCTGAGAAAAGAAGTCATCAAAAAGAAAACTTGATTAACATAATGTTTTGAAAAATCACTGTGATTTGGAAAGTCATAGGATTTGGGACTATCAGAAAATAGATATAAAAGTAATTGCTGCAGTAGGAATAATATCTAAAATACTCAAAAATCTTAACAGCTAGTGAGCTCTGGAATGAGTGCAACAAGTTTGGTCATATAGTACTGGCCTGGAGAACTTAAAAATTATCAGGCAATGATAAAATCTTTGAGAAATCTTAGAGAAATCTTTGTGAAGTTTGCTTTTGGAAGTGTATTGCTGATTGTATATACAAGGTTATAGGTATTTGTTGCTTTACCTCTGGATATACAGCTATCCCTGAATACCCATAGTTTACATTTAATTTTAATTTCCCAATTTGTATTCCTGAATAAAATAACTAGTGCAATATAATTGTTTTGTTTATTTGCTCTAATGATTTGGGGTTTTTTTGTGCTACTTTGGTACTACCTCCAGTTGGGGCAGTACCGGGGTGGTTTGGATTAGAGAAGGCAGAGAGTCTATGGAGAGATGTCCTGCCAAGGGGAAGGAATGGGATGGAAAACTTACCAAGGATTTTCATCTGCCAACATCATGCTGCAGCCACAGTATCCCTTGCATGAATTTCTTTGGGACTCTGTACAAGATCTTACAATCCTGTGCTCCCAGAAGGCAGGACAATGGCAGAGAGGCAGTGTGTAGTTATCCAGGGAGATGTGTTTGTGCTGGGTGCTCTGCAGAGGGCACACGTTGTCCAAGCCTGGCCTGGCCGAAATGCTGAGGTGTGCCCTGCCTGGGTCCAGCTCCAGCACTGGCTCTGTTATGTCCAGTCTTCCTGCTCAAAAGATGCAACTCCTCCTTCACACAGCAGGAGGGATGACCATGACATTGTTAATTAGTGTTTGTGGAAGCCACCTGCCAAATGGCCCTTGGGCTCCCATTTCTATTTCTGTATCCTATCCAAAGCCTGTTTAAAGAACACGAAGTACAGAGCACCCCCGGTGAGCCTTGCTGCCGAAACACCCTGACCCCTGCTCCCTCTCTCTGGCCATGTAAACCTCGAGCTCCTTCTCTGCTGTATCTGCAGTAAGCTGGACGGTAGGTGCACTCTGCACAGCTCACCCTTTGGTTAGGACAGGGAGGAAAGCAGGTACAAAGCTCTGCAGGCAAGAAAATGAACTAAATGTAGCCTTCCCTTTCTTATTTTCCTCAGTACCCAGTGTTTGATGAGTCTGTCCTGGTGGCCCGTCCTCTTTACTTTGTTCTGTGAAAGATCACAGAAGACAGGTGGGATATCAGGTATGTTTCCTGGCATGTCAGGCTTCCTCAGCTTCAGAGTCCCAGACACTTATTTCCTACCTGTGGCAGCAGAGCAATGGGATGGATGCCTGGGTGTCTTCCTCTGTGCTGTTCAGGAAATCCCCACATGCTGTGTAGGGAACTGACCTCACTCCCACCACAGCAGTCAGGATTTCACACCAGCAGCAAGAATGTTAAATATTTCTGAAAATAATTTTTAAGTTGCTAAGCCCTTTGTTGCACTCCTGCTTTTGTTGTCACAGAGCAACATGTTTTGCTAATTGTAAAGTTACCAGCATTTCAGTGTCCAGTGTTGCATAGTAATCTTATATATTGCCACATAGAAATCTATAGAGCCTACAATGGATTGTTAATGTTGTTTTTTAAAAGCATCCTGAAAATTAATTCAAACTAAGGAAGCAGAAACTATTGCAGAAATTATTGGAGTTATTGCTACTGCTCTGCCTTGGCTGTGGAACATCACAAACCCTGGACAAATGTCCGAATACAATATGATTTGTCTGAATAAATGTCTGTGTGGATAAAAAAAGTTCATTTAGAAGAACACATGATTAGTCTAAATTTGACATAATCAAGTTATGTTTTGGGTGCAATAAATACATTATCTGCTTATTCAAGCAAATGTGTGGCAAAGATTTTTCATTCTTACACTCTGGGACGTTTTTAGCATTCCTGGACATCCGTTGATTTGCCTATACGCAAATATAAAAATATTATCATTATTTTACCTTTCAGGCTGATGCTAAGGGTGTTGCAGGTGGCCGCTGAACCCAGAGGACTCTGCAAACCAGGGATTCCTGTTTGTCTCCGCGTTGCTGAGACCCCAGGGGTCTGTCTGTCCCTCTCAGCCCCACGGGTGCATCGTGCAGCTGTTCCTGTGTGCAGGCAGGGCTGGCAGCGGGGCTGCGGCTCCAGTGTGTGTACGAGCACACCCCCGGGATGCCCAAACCACACACAGCCAGTGCACATAACCCAGCCCTGCTGCTCCTCTCGCGGGTCCGGTCTGCGGTTCCCTACAGACACCCCACACTCCCAGTCTCAGGTTCACAAGCTCAGCCGCATTCACGGACCGCCAAACATCGGCGTGGCCTCCAAGTCCGTCTGACACCGCTGCCAGAGCTGGACCCTCTTACCCGGGCTGCGGGTCTCCTCTACTCGATGCTGTCGTGGCTCAAAGCTTGTTAGAAGGGTTTACGAGCACACCCCAGGGTTAAACTCCGGCGCACACGGACCTGCACTCCCTTCCCGCCGGCTGCCACTCGCACCTTGTGGCATCCTGGCACAGCGCAGGAATCCGCCCCGGGGCAGGTGGCCAGGGCCGAGCGGCGGGGGAGGCTCCATCGCCGGGGCCGCCCCCCGGCCCCGCAGGTCGGTGCTGCCCGGGGGACGAGCCAGCCGAGCCGAGCCGAGCCGAGCCGAGCCGAGCCGAGCCGAGCCGAGCCGGGCCGACTGTCGGGAGCGGCTGCAGAGCCCGCCGGCCCCGCCATGGGCTGCTCCAGCAGCGCCCGCAGCCGGGCCCAGGAGCCGCCGCCGCTGCCGGGTGAGCGGGCGGGGGGAGCCGGGCGGGGGGAGCCGCAGAGCTCTTTGGGGTGCGGGGCCGCGCTGCTCTCAGGGCGGTGCCGTCCCGGCCGTCCCGTCCCGTCCCGTCTCGTCCCGTCCCGTCCCGGCCGTCCCGTCCCGTCCCGTCTCGTCCCGTCCCGTCCCGTCGCGGGGAAGGCGCCGCGGGTGCTCGTCCTGCAGAAACCCCGCGGAGCCAGGAGCCCGTCGGGTATGCCTCGGCTTTTAATTCTGCCCGCGCAGCGGAGGGAGCTGCGCCCCGAAAGTGATGCCTTCGAAACTGGTGTAACTTGTGAATGAATGCCTAAGTCCCTTCCGCTCCGCTGGCTTTTTTTTTCTTTTTTTTTTTTTTTTTTTTTTTTTTTTGTGTTGTTGTTGTTTGTTTGTTTGTTTGTTTAATTTCCAGATGCGTCCTGCTGTTGGTCTTTTTGTTTATTACCTTGCCAGTCTAGTGCCCTTTCTTTCTTTCTTTAAAAGAATAATGAATTAGCAATATATGACCCCACTATCCTTCCTTTTTCTTAAAAAATCCGCCCGACATAATGTGCAGCATCGGCAATGTTCTTGTGGCTTTAATTGGCTCAAGTCACAGCAGACTAATTTTGTGAGCAAGCTATATTTGCAGGATGTTCCATAAGAATATTCTTGGTATTCAGTAGAACTAAAACAAAACTTTGTTTCCATATTCATCATATTTAGCTCTTTGCTCCAAGGAAATTTTGGAAACTCTTCTGTAAGAACCTGAATGCTGCAGTTACAAGAATTGTCCTCTCCAGAAAGATCCATCTCGAAAGCAGATCCAAAAAGTTGTTTGCATTTCATTTTACTGCATTTCTTTCCTATATTCTTGAGTTATGGTCTGTTGTTGTTACTCTGCCTGCAGCATCCATGGGTTTTGCATGGGTTTATGTTCTGTGTGTTGTCTTGTGGTGCTGTGCCTTGTGACTGCAGAGGGGAGAGCAGGTTGTGGGCTGAGCATTGTCTGTGCCACCACAGAGCCAGCACACATCTGCTGAAAGTATCAGGAGAAACCCCTTTATGCTGTACCTGCTGCCTCAGTCACCTGGTCAGTGTACCAATTCCTCTGCCTTTCCACCCTCCACTAAATGATACCTGCACAGGAGCACTGAAGGACTCAAAGAAACAGCAGAAGTAATTTGTTCTGAGTATTTTAATTATTCTGAATAAAAGCATGTTCATGGCAGGATAGGTCATGAAATGTACTAAATACATACACTAATGTCATGGCGAGGATGAAGTGCAGTTTGTAATTACAGCTGAAAGATCTGCATTAATTTGGCAATTACTAACCAGATATGTTAACAATTTGCTAATTTACTTTAATAAGAAAAGATAATTTGAAAAAAACCCTTCTCTAATAAGAGGAAAATGTATTTCATTTTCTTCCATTGATGTGTAACTCATAAAACTTTGAGACTTTTCCAAAAGGAAAGAAGGCAAAAAGAAAATACTGTAGCCATGGCCCACATACATTCACTTTGCTTTTCTTTGTTTCTCCAGCTAAAAGAGTCTACAGCAGGGAAAATAAAAATTTGAAATTTAAAAAAAAAAAAACAAACAAAAAACCAAAACTAGAAGGAATCCTAGGAATGTTGACTACCACATGATGTTCATTTTGCTTGGGGATAAAGGTATTGAACAGATTACTGAGAGGATTTATTTTTTCCATATTAGGGAATTCTTTGCATTTCAGATGAGAGCACAGGAATGCTTCCAGGGTTTCCAGCAGTGCAGGTCTTGTGTTGCATAGCAGTATTTTATAATCCAATTTATATAAAACATTTTGAGGGCTAGCTGGAAGTTATACTACTGATGCTTATAGGAGCTGCAGGAAATTCTTAGTAATAATACATTTGAATTGTTTCTTTTACTGTTAACATAAATTAAAACTCTATATAGCATGCTAATTTTCATGACTCGTTTGTTTCTGTCTGTAGGCTTTTAATGCTCTCTGTCCATCTGGCACTGAGCAAGGTGAAGGCATGAAAATGTCTAAAGGGACAAAAAATAAAAATGTGAAAAACATCGAATTTCTGGTCTCTGAGCATACATTGCTTTTTAAATCACTGCTTAGAGCAGCTTAAGTTTAACGTTTACTCACTATTATTCTGATTTGGTATCTGTTTCACCTTGAGCTTCATTTTAGGAAAAGGAGTGCTTGGAAGACAAGGTGTGATAAGAGGTCTAGAGAAAGCAACCAGGGAAATATATTTGGTGTTTCTCATAATGCAAGAACTGCCATGATGAAATGACCAGCAGCAGGCTTAGAGCCAGCCAAGATGTGTTTTACAGGGGATGTAAGTGGGCTGCAGCCCTCCTTCCCATTGGGTATAGTGGAGACTGAGTGTAAACAGATTGGAAAGGGGCTTGAACAGGTTGACAGAGGAATTCCACTGACAGATTGACACTCAGCCCCGTGGGCTGGGACCCTCTGCCCTTTCCCCTGCCCTGGCAGCTGTCAGAGGCAGGGTCTTGCCCTGGGGGGGGGGGGTGTGGGGGTCTGTTGTCAGAGACCCATAGCTGAGTTTGCCTCCTGTTGTTGGAGTTGCATTATAAATTGCTATTCCACTGTGGATTTGGAGGGGTTGGTTGGAACTTGGGTGGTTTGACAGTTCCTGGGACAAATGAGATTTTATCTGTCTCATAGTCGAAATTGCCTTGTCTGTCTCAACAGGCTGGATTCTCAGTTCTTGCTCTTCTTCTGGCTTAGCCATCCTTCCCTGGGTCTGTAGGCACATGCTGACGAGGTGACATTTGCTGGGGAGCTGTTTTGCTTGAATGTCTCAAAAGAACTGTAAACTTACTTTAAGGACAGCAGTATTGAAACAGATGTTTTAAGAGCAGGGTATACTACTTTTTCTCCTGTTCATCTATGTCTATATGAAATGTATAGATGTGTTCATCTGTGGACAGTATCATATGGTTCTGCTTACTGACTTTGACACTGCAATCATAATTTTCTCAGAAAATACAGTTTTTCCAGGTTTGTAATTATTATATAAACAGATTTCATGCTTGAATTACCAGGGGTTTCATCCTGACATTCTTTAGGAAAAGGTTAAATAGAAGATCCTGTCAAACTGAATTTCATCAAAATGTTAATAAGTCAGTCTGATAGGTAGGTATAGCTCATTTTGAGTCTTCAGCTTTTATCCTTAAATACCTGTCAAAGTAATTTTGTCAGTACTTTAAGCATAATTTTTTTTTCTGCCAAAACCCATTGCTTTACTAGCCAATATGTTGATGAAAGATGAAAGAAGTGGAAGTTTAATTTGTTTGGGCTTCCTGTTGTTGAATTTTTTATTAGACAATCATAGTATGAATGGTAGTTTAGTACTGAAAAAAACAAAGTGGTTTTTGTTTTAAGAAGTGAGCACTGCTCATCCTCTGAGTTTTCAGGGGTTTTATTCAATCCCCCTGAAGGTACCACCAGAACTTCTCTCACACAGCCCAGGACAGCAGCTCCCTCACACTCCCCACATTGATGCTGTGCTTGGTTTGGGGCAGGAAAAGGTGCTTCCTTGCACTGTCCCATCACCAGCAAACCACCTGCACACTCAGATTCAAAAGGGAAAATGTAACAGAACATTGACTTGCAAAAAAATCTGCTCTCTTCATATAACATGCATCAAGTGAAAACTTAATATAAGAACAGCATCATCTCTACTGGATATGTGTGGATATGTGCAGCAGACCTGTGAGGGAGTATTTTCCCTGGCCAGGAGGGAGCTCTTTGTCAGGTACTGCTTGTGTGGTTCACTGTGGGTTTAGTTGTCATCCAGCTCATGTGCCCATTCACCAATTATCTGTAATTCTCTTTTTCCTTTCCTTGCTCTGCTGTCACTCAAAGCATCCTCAGGTGCAAACACCCTGACTGCAGATGACCATGGAACTGTAGCTGAGCACACACAGCTGGACCCAGCAGAGCGTGCGAGCCCTGCCTCTGAGCAGCTGCCGGGAGAGGAGGCTTCAGCCACGATCCTGAACGTGGAGGGAAAGACAGAGTCGGTCAGTAAAAGGGAGGAGCCAGAGGGCACCGAGCCCCTGCCTGCCGGAGAGGAGGAGAGCTCTGAGCTGCCCTCTGTGTGGCGAGAGGAGAGCAGGGGGCCTTCGCCGCCAGCACCAGGAGAAGATGCTGGGGCACCATCTCCAGGACCAGCAGAGGACAGTGGGCTGGTAGAGGGCAGTGACAGCTCTGTAGTGGAAGCCGTTGAGAAAGTACATATTACTGAAGAGGAGCATATCATTGAGGGTAATATTTGTGCTTTCATAAATTCAGGAGACCAAAATTTGCCTCCAGGGACTTCTGTGTGCGTCCCTTTGTCTTTACTAAGAGTCTCAAATGAGCTTCTGGAGTCAGAATTTGGTCCAGGGAGTCTGTATGATGTGAGGCATAGAAGAATGTGGCTGGGGAAGCCTTGGATTTACAAGTCCAAGCTGTGATAAACTTAATCAGCATTTCCACCTCTGCTATTTCATTTCATGTCCTTTTTGTTCTTAGCAGGTAAAATGTCCCACCATACCCCTAATTTAAAACACTGTGTCTCTGAGTAGCTCAGACACATTCCTTAATATTTGCACAGCCCAAAGGCTCAATTACTTAGTCACATGTACTAAATGTTAAATTATAAATTACTAATTATTAACTATATGTCAACTGTCCTTGCATACATAAAGCTGGATGTAGAAGAAAAAGCATCTCTGATGCACACTTGGCATCTCCAGTGTGTCCTAGAAGCTTGGCTACAAGACAAGCAGAATAGAAGTAGTAGTGGAGAGACACAGAGCTGTCTTTGCACCAATGCTTGGAGATGCCTGGGTGGGGAGAGAGGCTGCATGAGGAAGAGGAAGCAGTGGTGTCTGAGGTGACAGGGATTTCCATGTGCTGTGGAGGGACCTTTAGCAGGAGGTGTGCTCCTTCCTGGAAATTACAGGCTATGCTCCTCCTTGGGTTAGTGCCCAGAGGACATGGACTGCGCTTGCAGAAGCTGAAAACTTCACAGGAGGAATCAAATTTCTCCTAAAAGGTACCAAGTAGCTCAGTAAGGAATCAGATGCATTCCTGGGGTAGCTCTTCTTCAGGGAATAAGCAAGTGAAGCACATGAGGAGTATTTCTCTGCAGGGAGCCATCCTCACTCCAGTTTGGCCTTGAAGAAGTGCAGGGTGCAGAAAGACTGATTCCTGCAAAGTCCAGAGCCAGTTACACACACTGCCCCCACTCCTGTGGCTTTGTGCTGCTTGTCTCTGAACTGGCTCTGTGGATCTCATTCTTTGCTCATCCTTTGTAGCTGAGCGTGGTCGTTGGATTGCTTTGTCCTCTCTCATGTCTCTTCATGAAAGAATTTTGTCCTCTACATAATCATCTATCCTTGGAATAAAGTTTTGTTTTATGTAAGCAGTAAATGACAGGTTGCTCACCTGTTAAACACACATCCTGCCCAGCTGCAAACTCCAATTTCATTATTCACCATTTCTAAGCCTTAGGGCAGTGCCAGAGGCAGAGCAGCACACCCTGGACCTTGTGCTGTCACATCTCATCAGTGGAAACATGTTTACAGTTTTCTGTCTGTCTGAAGATGAGTTGTGGGGCTTCTAGCACCAAGTGATGTGTACAGGGCAAGTGAATGAAGCTTTTGGGGAAAAGAGTTTTGCTCCTATTATTTCCAAGGTAGAAGGAATATCTTAACTTGTGTGCATTCTCTTCCCAGGCATCTGATGAAGAAGGGATTTTCTATTTTTATGCTATGGTACATATGATACTTAGCATTTGTTTTGCTTTCCCTTTGTGCTTCCATAGCTATGGCAGGAAATGAGTTAGGCTGCAGCTTCCCTGGGAAAGCAGGGTTTCAGCCAGACTTGCGTGTTACCATGTTTTCTATTTCTGTTTTGTTCCAATTGCAAATAAAACTGCACATCTATGAAATAAAATACAGGAGAAAAAAAATTGAACAGAAAGAGTACTCATGATTTCCTTTGGATACAGCATCAAAGGGATTTTGTGAAAGCATTAGGAGAACTTCATGGGCGTGAGGCAACCATATTTCAGCTGGATGATGAAAAGTGTTTGTTTTCCTGTTTGCTCTCTCTGGGTTCATTCGGGGGTACCTTGATAAGGGGCATTGGAAAGCTTGCAAAGCAAAATCAGGTTTACAGAAAGGAGCTGGGGCATTTGGTGGTTTTTTTTTAGTGGATCCTAATTTGATCTCCATGGTTACCATTCCCAGGTGAGACCGGAGAACAGGTGGAAACTGAGCTGCTCAGTGAGACAGTAAGTGAAGGGCCTGAAACAAAAGAAGAAGAAACAGGAGAAGCTGTGGATAGTGCAGCAGCGACAGAGATAGGTATGTTGACAGAGGAGGGAAGGACCACATGGGTTATTTTTTAAGAGACAGCAAAGACTGTCCTGTCCTTATTGGGCATATCTTATTATTCCCCTGTAGGCATACAGCTGCTTTCTGCATTTTTGCACAAGAGAGTCAAAAATACTTTACAGTAAAAGACACTTTTGAAAGCAACCAATTGGAAGTCATGCTTTTTACATGGGTCATCTTTATATAATACACAATCCTTATCAGTGATAACTTTTCCCTCTTTGGGAAAAATGGTAGACTGTAACATGCAGTCTTGGAAAATAAAAAACCTTTGTTAAAGTCATGACTCTGCTCATTATTATTTGCATGCTTGTCTTTATAAGCTAAGCTTTAATGCTGCTTTGTGATTTCCATTCTATGCCAGTCATTTTAGATCCCCTTGTTCTCCTTATCAGCTGAAATCAGCAGTGTGGTGCTGTGATGAAAGCACATTACACAGCATATTCAGTCACATGGTGGGAAGGAAAGTCACAGGCCAAATAAAGTTCCTCTGGAAAACTGTCACACCAGTGAAGGCAAAAATTCAAGGGGATAAGATTATCCCTCTAGCAGACTTTGAGATTGTGGTCAAAATTCTGTCACTACAGTCTTGCTACAAAAGTTATTTCTTCTTCTTCCTCCACATTTACTAAGAACCTCACACTTGAGTGTATCATGTAAGGTGTTCACATGCCCAGAAGGCAGAATTAGAATCACAGAATCATTTAGGTTGGAAAAGATCATTGAGTCCACCTGTTAGCGCTGCCAGATCCATCCCATTACTAAATCTTGTCCCTAAGTGCTGCTTCCACAGTTTTTTGAACGCCTCCAGGGATGGTGATTCCACCACCACAGGTTACACTATGGTATTGCTGGAATGTGGAAAAGGATGAGCAGGCAATGCAGCTTCCCCTTTCCCTCAGCAAATGTTATTGCAATAGCTGGAATCACCTTCTCCCTCTCCCCACCTTCTCCCTCTCCCCTCCCTCCTAATCACTGGCGTACTTAGTCATGCTCAGAATCTCTCTGGGCTAGCGAGTATTTCTGTAATTCAGAAGAGAACAGCTTCAGCAGAAAGGGTGGCAGATACCTTACACAGTGTCTTTCATGACTTCCAAAGGAGCCCCTTGCACTGCTCTTTGGTTCCTTCCCAGCGCTAGTATGTCACAGCCTTAGGGCAAGCCAGCGAGTCGCACTGCTGCTTGTGCCCCTGCCAGAGGGCTGAGGGAAATGGTTTTCAGCACAAGCACTGCAGCCTGTAACACAAGTAGGGTGGTGGTCAAGCAGTTTGGTCAAGGCTTATGTGCCTTTATGACCTTGTGATTACCCAAGTAAAATTAGATCAGCAGTGATTAAAAAAAAAAAAAAAGCTCACCTCCCTTTAATTTTCATGTTTGACAGTTGCTCATCTTTACAGATTGTTACTTTTTAAGCTAGCCTATGAAGACAAGCAGTTGTTGGCCATTGACAACAAGTCTTTTGCAGGATCTTTAAATTTATGCCAGATAGCTTTGCCTATGAAGTCAAAACAAGTTTAATCAATCAAATTGTTTTTAATGTCTTAAAATAATGTCTTTTTTTAAAAGCTCCTATGCTTTTGCAAAGAATCAACACTCTGTTACTTTTTAAGCTAGCCTATGAAGACAAGCAGTTGTTGGCCATTGACAACAACTTTTGCAGGATCTTTAAATTTATGCCAGATAGCTTTGCCTGTGAATCAAAACAAGTTTAATCAATCAAATTGTTTTTAATGTCTTAAAATAATGTCTTTTTAAAAAGCTCCTCTGCTTTTGCAAAAAATCAACACTCTGTGCTGTGAATTCAGCAAAGCACTTAATTTGATTCTAGGAAACCTCAAAGAACATCTTCCTGCTCCTGAAGAGTAAGAGAATCATTACTCTTAGGAGAAAGGCTTGGGTTGGAATGGACCTTAAAGACCACCTAGTGTCAACACGCCTGCCATGAGCAGGGATGCCACCCATTAGATCAGATTGGTCAGGGCTCCATCCAGTTTCGCCTTGAACATTACCAGGAATTTCAGCCAGTAATGATTACAGCTTTGTTGAAATTCTTCCTGCATTTGCCTGTTTTGACAGTATTCTCCCGAACAGTTTTGTAAGGGAGCAGAAAGAGCAGCCCTGCTTCTGTCTGTAATGCATTTCAGATGATGGGAGTGCACTGACCCAGCTCAGAGGAACAGCTGCAGGCAAGAGGAGCAAACAATGCTAAGAACGGAATAGTGACCATTTAAACCTGGGATTCTGTTGTGTAAGGGAGCAGTTCTTCCATCTTGAAAGGATATTGGAGAAATAAAGCAAGATTCTGGGCAGGAAAGCAAGACTGCTTAAGGGAATGGAAAAATTCTTACTTTGAGAGACATCAAAAACATTCACAGCTTTGTCTCTAGGAGGGTATGACTAAGAGGATACAAGCTGATCCTAGTTAAAAAAAATTAAGAATAGGGCTCTAAAGGTAGCTGATGTCCACCTAAGAGTAAGGGAATGCTCAGTGATGTGCAAAGTGTGTTGAATTTGAAACCATTAAAGGGATTTGGCTTTTTTCATGTTATATTAACAATCTTCTTAGTCACAGAGAATCACTGCAGTTGGATGTTTTTCTTTGGTCACCTTCATTCCCATGCAAAATTTCCCACCTTTCCTGTGTTCCTTACCCACCCTCATGGAACACCACACTCAGTGTGAGGAAGTTCCACATTCTCATGTTCCCTACCCTTGCTGAGTCTTCTAGCTGGGAAAGGAGTACTTTGAGCTGGGATGTCCAGACACTGTGATTTCAGCCAGTAACCCCCTTGGGCATTGTCTTTTAGCTATCAAGTGAGCCCCAGAGCTTCTCAGCTGCTGATGGCCAACAGTAGCTTCAGGGGCTGGACACAGTTCAAAACCATACTTTGTCATGGAATAGCTGAGGTAGAAAAACACCTCTGGAGCTCAAGCAGGAACAGGTTGTCCTGCTGGGTTTTGAATCCCCAGGGATGGAGACTCCATCAACTGTGGGCAGCCTATTCCCGTAACTTGACTGTCCTTACAGAAAAAGCAAAAAAATCTTGTATTTAAAGGTAATACACTGTACTTCAATTTGTGCCCTTTGTCTCTTGTCCTTGCTTAGGATTTACTGTCCATGAAATGCCTGCCTCTGTGTCAAATCTGACTGGAAGGATGTAGTGATTTCAAAAGTTGTTAGAGAAGAGGCAGCAGGGTGAGGAGGAGCTCGAGACTGTAGCAGTGACTCACAGAGGTGATGTTAATGTCTGTGACAGGAACTGTAACTGGGTATGAATGGGATGGGGGAAGAGGAAGCAGAACCAGTGCTTGCTTTTAGGTCCACACAGAACATTCCTACAGATCTGGGAGAAGAGCAGATATCCCCTTCATCCTGTGATACTTCCAGGGAATTTTCACTTTGAGTTCCTGTCAGATTTAGTGAATATCAATTCATACCTTCAATTCATTGCTAAATTATTTTTTTTCCATGTGTTTCAGAGACAGCTAATAACAAGGAATAGAAGTTATGTCTCAGTGAACGTCCTCTTCTTGGGCCTGCTCTTCTGTTCACATGAATATTTTTAAATTTTATTGGGTTGGGAAAATAAAAAGGCTTTTATGGATTGAATCACAAGCTACAGACACATGAATAGGAGGCATCAGAAAAAGTTTTATATAATACAGATTTTTTGAAGTCAAGCTGCCAAGACTTCAAGTGTTTGAAATACCCAAACTTTCATCTCCCTGCCACAGAGTGCCTTCTATACACACCAGCATAATTTTTCAACGGCAGTATGATCATTCCTTTTTCAATTAGGAGTTTTTCCCAGGTTCAGATTAACTGCCTTCAAATTGTACAAACTTTCAACCAACAATGTATGTAGCATGAAGAACAGAGTGTAGCTTTTTTCTCTTTAAATGATTGTATGTAGGCAGTTCCTCTGAGTGCCTGGACTACCAATGTAGGCAGCTGCTGAAGTGTACAGCACGTAGAGGACTGGGAGAGGAAATTTACCAAGCTCTAACTAAATGCAGAGGGGAGTTTTCCAGAAAATAGAAAATAACAGAGTGCAATGTCCAGGACCCAGCTGTGTGCTGCTCACTCCCCATTTTTAAACTCAAATTTATTGAAGGGATTGTAGTACAGCACAGGGGGCATTTTTTACTGAGTTGTTTTAGTTGTATAAATCCTAGAAGATAACTTCACAGTGTTAACATTCATAATAATAATAACCTATCTTTAGCTGTGTAGCTCTCCTCATATGCATTTGTGGCTTCTAAAATGGACTTCTCAGAGAGAAAATACAAACCTGCCTAAGAGACAAATATAAGCCTGTTCCCAAAGAAAAGGTTATCTATTATATTCCCCTGAAGTGCTGTCCTCCTGGAGAAATATGCTATCAGGGACTGTCTGGGTTCTTTTCCAAAATGCTAAATAATCATTGCAGAGATGAAAATGGCAATGCTTTCAAACAAATTTCCTGTGAAACAGGCCCTGGATAGGATTTGTGTTTTGGGTCAGATAAAGAGTAGAAATTTCTTCTGGTGGTGAATGTTGCAGGATCACAGAATCAATTCAGTTGGAAAACACTTCTAAGTTACTTGAGTCAAAATGTTGACTGAAGACCACCTTGTCAACTAGACCATGGCAGTAAGTGCCGTGTTCAGTCATTTCTCATCCAGGGATGGTGACTCCACCACCTCCCTGGGCAGTCCATTCCAATGTTTGACAACCCTTTTCTGTGAAGCGATTCCTCCTGATGCTCAGCCTGAATCTCTGCTGGCACAGCTTGAGGCTCTGTCCTGTGCAAAGGGACTCCATATAACACATTGCTGGGGATTGTGTTTACAAGATCTCTGGCATAAGGATGTAGGAAATGGAGAAAAGGTCAGTTACCTAAAAATGGCATGCACAATATTGCCCTTTTATTAGCTTTATTGTATAATAGGACTTAACAAAAATCCTGTCACCAGCAAATTAGTCAAATCCCCTCTAAGAGATAATTTCATACTGCATGTACATGTCTGACTCCAGCTGACTCTGGTTTGTATGAAATAATCTAATTGATACCCTTGGCCTATTAACCTTTTGTATAAGCTGATAGCTCTTGGCTGTATCACTAAATCCAAGGTTTTCTGCTTAG